CACGGACAAGTTTCCTTTATCATTTGCATTACGAATCTAAAGATTGTACGTGCGACAAGGAGCGCAGTACATTTGTCGAAACATGCGAAACGGATGCAGCCGGTAGATAGAAGCTTGCAAAAATTATAATACGCTACTTTTAATTCATCCACTATCGCGATGAATAATAAAATTATTCTAAAGCAGCTTTTCACCGCTTTTAATTTCTCATTGTCTCGTATATCTTTTTTCTAATATTTAATAAAGAGATATTTTAATAAAGAAATATATATAATAATATATTTTAATAATAATAATATATATATTTTAATATCTCAACATTTTAATAAAAAAAAGTAACGGAGATTGTATAAAATAAGGCTTATGAAATATTTTCGCTGATATTGTAGAGGCGTAAAGGATATTGCATGCCGTTGCGAAAAGTTAGTAGTCGCGCGCTCGTGCAATTTTGTTCCATGTTATAATAACAGTTTTAACTTATATGAAGGAACACGCATCTCAGAGATTCAAAATGATATACGTGGTCATACATCGGATCACGGGCTTAACCGGCAGTCGTGCAAAAAGCGACACGGGGAAGCAACGAAATGGGGCAACAATAAATGGTATGTAGGCGAAAGGGGAGCGAACGATGGAAATGTCAAAATGTAACGGCGCTACGAGGCACGTACAAACGGCCGGTTGTTCTGCAATAACGCCAGTATTGTTGAGCTTATCAAGCGAGGCTAATTGGACGCCAACAGCTGGACCGAGGCTTCGCTGTAGCTGGACTGCAGCCCGCGCGTCGCCTCTACTTTGCACTGATAATGTAATGGGACCTATCTGGAACACAAAAGGCCGCAATAGATTAATGGATTTGTCTGAAATTGTCACCGAGTGTCAAAACAAATCGATGGGGAAAGCGGGAGACAGTGTTTGCCAGTAGCTGGAGAGCTGTGCGTCAATGTTGAATGCGTTAGACCCCTTTATCGTCCTTTCAATGAAATTGCATGCAAATGCGAAACTGCAGTCAGACGAATCCGATAAGGTCTTTAACACAAAAAATATGTATAAGCTTTGTTCGGTCAAAGCTTCGAATACACTTTTCCGCAATTGCTTATTATTTCTATAAAATTCCGCTACAATTTCTTTGTCATTTTAATCTAAGCTGTTAATTAATTGTTTTGCACTTTCAATATTCGCAATACACGATTTTCTTTGTGTTTTGCAATGACCAAATTAACCTAAAATAATAAACAAACAAGGTAATTCCTCGCTATTTGAGTTTACGATAAATCAGAAGACAACACGCGCGCGACGCAGTTGAAACCGGCGAGCGTTTCGACTTTCACAACAGGAACACGAAGAGGCAGTGTTTGCGTTGCGGGAATTAACTTCGCGACCCGAGCCTGTGTGCGTGAGCGCGCGCGAGCGTACGCACATCGTGCGTGCAGTAATAATAATAGCCGGAGCAAGCTCGATTAGAGCCTGCTCGTACGTAAGTAGTAAGCAGGAGTGCAAGAAGTAGCGAGAAACGTGACGAGGCGCGTCGGCCTTCTATTTTGTCGTTTGCTAGATGAGAAACGAGTATAAAGAAGATGTAACGTACACATGTGCTTTGTATCAACAAGTGTACACGGTTTCGCGAGAACGGTAACGCAATATGTAAATTATTGCTCTCGCAAAAATGAGCCACTTTACGCGTTTTCGCGTAATGGGTCAATGCCCCGCTCCTATTTACATATCGATATTTCAAGCGTTTCAATTGTCATTGACTAATTACACTGACGCGCGCGATAATTTATGTATTAACTGTTTAACGTTGCGCTGACGGACCATTATCAGCTTTCGATAACGTGTTCGCGAGATTCGGTTCTCCCGTATCTCGTTAATATGCAAACGCGAATTACTTTCGGACGGTGCATTTAAATCGTTAGGATACCGAGTCGGCATCGGCAATAACTGCGTACGTGCGACGCCTCATAATGCCAGGAGTGAAACGTAGACTACTTTAATCGGATTAAAGTTGAGTGGGGTTTCGTGTTGATTTTAACGAAATCTTTGTCTCTCCTCTCTCTCTCTCTCTTTCTTTCTCTCTCATTCTTTCGTCCTTTCTCTCTCTCGCTCGATTGACGACGGCGCATCGCGGGCCGCGGCTCGGAATCGAAACTTCGCCGCGATTCTCTTGCCTCGAGTTTATCGAGTTCGAAACTAGTCGACCGTCCAATCGGACGAAGCATCGTCGCAAAGTCTGTCTCCCGAGACCCCGGGACTGTCCTTGGGTTGAGCGAAATTAGTCGATAAACCCCGGTTTAAAGTTCCTGAACTTCTATACAGGAGGAGTTTGTCCCCGCGAGGCAGTAGGAATTTACTTCCTCGCCGCGGATCAGGGAAAATAAAGGAAGGGATAAACCGAGAAGAAAGCGATAGACCGGTCGTTTTTCTGTAACATGCTACAAGCTTAGAGAGATGATTGATTGCGACGTAATTTTTACTTAATTAAATTAACATTAAAAATTAATTCTCAGTAGTACAGCTATGGGGATTCTAAGCCATGGAGCAATGAGGGGGGGTGTGGAAAAAGAGGGGAAGCGGGGTATCAGGTTACACACGTTCGCAGCTGCAAAAGCGCAAAGTCGGCACTTTTTTGAGCAGTGGGGGGAAGGGAGGTATCAGGTTACATACGTTTGCAACTGCAAAAGCCGCAAGTTCAGCACTTTTTTGAGTAGTGGGTATCAGGTTGCACAGGTTCGCAGCTGCGAAAGAGGAAAGTCAGCAGTTTTTCAAGAATATGGAGGAGCAAATTTTGTGGCGTCAACATTTTTTGAGTAGTGGGGGGAGTGTATCAGGTTACGCACTTGCAAAGTCAGCAAGTGGAGGGGATATCGCAGATTTACGGATTACGTCATTACTATTTTTAATTAGTGCCGTGTGCAAAACGCCCCTAGCAACAGCCACGTCAGCATTTTAGGCGCCTAACATAACCTGCACTGGGAAAAAATAGTTGTTGAAATTACTAAATACATTTAATTGGCTTTATTTCTTTAGTTCAAATATTTATGTGTTTAAGTAAACATAACGTTAATAATTTAAGACACAACAATATGACTTTGTTGACATTTAATTTAGTGAATAATAAATGTTATTGTTCTAAATAATTTACAGTTAATCTGAATAAAGCTGTTGCTGCCGCTGAAGTAAATAAATGCTACAGTTGATAAGTTGTATTGATTCATCATTATTTATATTAATATTAACCAGTCATTAATTACATTTTTATTTGAACATAATACAATTCTGTTAGGCTAACTAAATATTTCTTTTCATACAAATTAACTTTTGTATTTATCAAAACATAATATTTTGCTGGATTAACAAATATTTATTTGATTGTCCGTGACCGCCGCATATAGTTAGATAAAAAAATATTTTTTTGATTCAACATTTTTTTTTCTCAGTGTATAAGCAAACAATGGCGCAAAATGGCGCCATTGTTTGCTGAAACGTTGAAGTGGTTGTTGCTAGGGGCGTTTTGCACACGATACTAATTAAAAATAGCTATGACGTAAATCTGCGATATCCCCTCCACTTGCTGATTTTGCAAATGTGTAACCTGATACGCCCCCACCACTCAAAAAGTGCTGACGTCACAAAATTTGATGCTCCTTCATATCCTTGAAGAACTGCTGACTTTCCTCTTTTGCAGCTGCGAACCTGTGTAACCTGATATCCCCCACTGCTCAAAAGTACGAAACTTGTGCTTTTGCAGTTGCAAACATGTGTAATCTGATACCTCCACTACTCAAAAAAGTGATGTCTTTACGCTTTTGCAGCTGCGAATGTGTGTAACCTGATACCTCCCTTCGCCCCACTATTCAAAAAATGTGCTGACTTCGCGCTTTTACAGCTGCGAACGTGTGTAACCTGATACCTCCCTTCGCCCCACTATTCAAAAAATGTGCTGACTTCGCGCTTTTACAGCTGCGAACGTGTGTAATCTGATATCCTCCTTCACCTCTTCCCCCGCACCCCCCTCATTGCCCCATGGCTTAGAATCCCCATAGCTATACTACTATTCTTTATTTTTTTTCAGAAAATTAGTCTTAAATATATTGAAAAAATATTAGCTGCAGAAGAGAGCGAAAGTTCACACAGCTGCATTTCTCGCGTAGAGTCTCGTGCAGCGTTGGAGTTTTATCTCTGACTGTACAGCCGACTAATCAGTAAGGCGCCACAGAAAACGTATTAATGAGTAATCCAGTGGTCGCTGCATTGTTCGCGACGCGCCAATACGTTAATTTTCTCAGTCGAATTCTCGCTAACCATGTTCGTGGAATCGTCACGATCGCATTTCCCATATTTCTCGGACGAATATCCCGACGTGCTGATTGAATGAGGCATCGAATTTCATTAATCTCTCGTTAGTCAGCGCGCGGTATATAAATCTCGGCTGTGGTGGCGTATACGGCTGCGGGTAGATAGCGGTTATCGGTCGTTCTTGCCAAGTGAATCGTTTCTTTCTGGCAGCTCTCACTGGACGGAGCCGTGACTCATTTAGTTGAAAATAATAACGTGCCGCTCCGCGACACTTTAGATTTTTCTCTTTCTTGTTAGCCACATTTCTCATTCCCCGGGTTTTCTCCCGCGCATCTCCTTTTTCTTTTTGTCCTCAGAAAGTTATGGCATTCATATGTCACAGCATATTATTAGTCAACGTTTAAAATTTGGATTATAAATTGAAAAATTTCCAACGCCTAATTTTCAGTAATTATTAATTAATGGATGTATGAGATGTACAGTGTTTTTTTATTTAATTAATAAATGTTTAGAAATAAATTAAATTTTAATTGAACGCTTGCATGGAAAAATTTTACGATATTTAATTAGAGTTTTAATATGATGTGCCATATATTATATGCCATTATATGCCATAGAGTTTAAATAGATAACCGATTTATCTCTGCGCTTTTGTTCGCCCTCATTCTTTTCGCCCGTTTTACGCACGGTCTTTTGCGTTGCAGGAATCTGAGTGGGTCAGCTGGATAAAGAAAGCTCCTCCGATGTTCGCGTCGTTGGCACAGCGGTCGGACGATGTCGACGAAGACGACGGCCGCGCGATGGGCTTCCACGTTGGTAAGTGGTCATTGAGTCAATTACGCGGATAAAGTGCGCCATTGTGCGGCGCAGCAGCGATTTTTCTAACTCCGTTCCCCTGTCACAGACGCGCTCGCGGGGTTAGACGGATAAAGACTCGTGCCTAATGACGTGCGTTTATTTCATACGATAGTTAGCACACTTCCGGCTTGTCCATTGATTCTTCTTTTGAAATTAATACACAAAACGTATTGATTTCTCAAGAGCTGTAAATTTTGAATTTTGCACGTTTTAATTTCGTAATGTCTTAATGCGTTGAATATACAATGTGAGATAACACATAATTATAATATAAAATCGTATTTGGTAAAAATTGAAAGAATTAATTCTGCAAAATATAAATAAAATTTGGTAATCAACAATTTGTGCTAACAATCAAGAAAATCACGTATTATAACATTTGGCAAAACAAATTATCTTGCTAATACGACATTTAGCGGTATTGTTCTTTCGTAATTGCAATTATTCGCACAAATATTCAGAGTTGAAACTAATAAATAAGAGTATTTACAATTAAAATGGATAACGTGAAAGGTAATAATGTACAAATGATGATGCAAGCGACTATGGCAATAGCATTCGATGTTCACTTTATGATAAAGCGATTATAATAATGATACATTATTAGCATTCAATGATACAGCGCAGCGCCCATGTATCTGAATTGTGCCTTTATTATTATGTATTGTTATATTGCTTCGTATTTCCGGTTTGTGCATCCATGATTCTACTATAAGAACGATGGATAAACTTTTTATTCGATATAATTATCGGACGGCATTTTTTTCTTTTGTGCACAAATTTTTTGCCTGGATTTTATCGAGAGATGAATTTGCAAACATATTACAGAGATTTCAGAATTATTTGTATAAAATACGATATATTTTGTTAATTTATAAAATTTTTGGAATACTTTATAAACTATTATTTGATAATATTTTATAATACGAGTGAGCATAATATTTATTGTGTCTCGAAGCAACATGTTTGCTGTATTTGCGAACTAAATTTTCCCACAAGTTTCATGCGCATTACGCTAACAAATTTATTGCAGGGTAGGATACCGGAAATCTACTTAGAACATATAATCATCTTGTACAGTTCTCTTTTGTTAAATCAAAATCCCACGATTGGGGCTGCTTGTCGTATCGGTTATGATATAATTATAATATGGTGTATCACTAGCGGGGGTCAATCATGCGTTCCGCAAAAAAAAAACCTACCACTATCATCTATCGAATGTTTCTCTCGGCGCGTGTACGCTCGTAATATTCGGTTATTCCCGCAGTGCACGTGAGCTGTGAAAAGTTAACGATAGGTTTGGCCACCGGCACGTTTAACCCTTTTCTTGTTCGAGTATGTTCCGGATATGCGTGAGTGCAATGTTGTACGCCTTCGCGTTTATGCCTCGTATTACCCTTCCATATTTTATCGATTTTTTTGCGCCGATGCGACGTTGATCGTAGTCGGCAACCAATTCGTAACCGAATACATACAGATCGCATAATTGAAATTTCCAATTGTTCGGCTTCATGAAAAGGCTTTGTTAAAGGATATAAAAATATCTTTTATATCTTTATGTGGAAAATATTAGTGATATTATATTACGATTTTAATATGGTGGACATTCTTTTACATTATTTTATAGGAAGCTAGTTTCTAAATTTGTATTTTTTTCTGGATAAATGAAGATTATTCCTCTTTCAATATTATCGTTCTTTTGTTACAATATAAAGTTATAGCGCTACGCGTGCATTTGTGCGTGATTTGCTTTTCGCGTAGGGATATCGCGGGTGCGGGATTACACGTGTTTTAATAAAAGAACGGTCGACGCGCATGCACGGAACAAAAGATGTCGATTGGACGGTAAATATGCGGGTCCCAGTGTGTTTATTCAAATTCGGTTCGACACGCGGAAAACAAGCGTGCACATCGCGCGCGACAGACACGCGAGACTTGCGTGCATGTAGTGCAGTACATACGCGCTCATCAGCTAAGTGCTCCCGTCGCTGTCTCCCGATGAACCGGCGTACGATTTGTTTTAGCAAATGAAGAGGAAATGGGCTCCGTCAAATTCGCTTAATTTCGACGCTGGCTATGCCGTACCTTCAAGCCATGTATGCACTTAACGCTATTATTGCTGCATTTCACGCGTGTATTCGCGTATCATTAATCTGCGCATACATCATCGCCGCTGGCGATTTTAATACAAATGTTCCAGTTCTGTACTAAATTTTTTATTGCACTTTTTTGTCAAATAATATGATAATTAATATTTATTCCATATTTTATAAATAACAATGGGAGTAAAGTACAAGCGGATGCAAAATTTATTAATTTGATTTACGATAAAAATAATGTGGAATTAAAATACAAGACGATATATCTAAATGTAGATTTATTTGAGGAAAGGTAAAAATTCAAAAGACGCTTATTGCAGTAATCAAACTATTATTTGCGCCACATAAATATTATCTCGCGTTTTGCGTGTCACCATAAATCTACAAAACAGCTCTCTTAGTTTATGCGCCTGTTCATGTGGGACCCACGGCATCCATTTTAGGCGGATGATACCGCTATCGCCAGATCGATCTTCCTATCAGCCATGAAACGTGATATATCGATCTCCACGGACGGTACACAAATAATGTCGTCGCGCGTAATCGGCGCACAGCGACGAGCGCGCGAGCGACCGGCTAATGAATTCTTAGTGTCCGCGCGCTCGGCTTTCGAGCATTCCCGGACACGCGAGCTTCTCGTGGGGGTTAATTTAATACACGTAGATCGCCTGCAGGTATTTCCACCCTACCTACCGCGGGTGCAGACCGCGGTGCCGACGCCGCATAATACTCCGTTATATCCTTCCAGCCCTTCTAGCTCGCGCAACCCTCGTGTGCGGGGGAGGAGTGGAAAGAGTTATATCCACGTTCTTCCATCTGCGGTAATGAGAACACGACGATCACTGAAATAATACGCCACGGTGAAATGGGATACATCACCTTACTCGCGTACGTGCCCCCATTGTGCGTCGAACGAATGCACGACGTTTCCTTCTGTTGGGAAATGCGGAGGTGATGTAAGTGTGGGCGGTTTTACTAGGAAAATGTAACCTCAATATTTGAAACAACCGGTGGATCTCGCGGCACGTGTAATTACTCAACGATAGTATGAAATGAAACGAGAATGCGCGTTGTTATAATTATAATTAACGATTTTTTTCAACGGAATTAGAGTTAGCGAAAGATTATGAATTTTTTTAAGACGAATAACAAGCGCGCAAAGTTCCTTATTTTTTAATAAATTCTAATTTAAATTTTTTGGAAGCTTTTTTTAAAAAATTTATTAACCACAATGCAAAAAGTTTCAAGTTACGGTGACAAGTGGTCGTTCCGAGGAACGTATTGTCCTTCCGGATTTCCATTTGCTGCAGAAAATTCTGAACGGCGGGCCGAAATCTGATAACGCTTGTCTCTCGGGACTTAAGCGTGTCTAAGATGTTCCCGCTATCGAGTTTATACGATCGTCCGGGCAGACTGTCGTCCCTTTAGATCGCGCGTTTGTGTGGGTGCGGGGCGTTGAGAACCTCGTTAGATCGATCGGCGGAGTAGCGCGACGTCCAATTATCGTAATTCTCTTATCGAGCACCTTCCGCGGCGGCTCACCGCGAAGTGAAGGAATACGGAAAATGGCCTCTGAATAAATCAGCCCCGTCGAACTTCCCGATCCGACTTCGTGATCGCGTGTAGAGTTGACGCTACGCCAAGGAGAGGGAGGGAGAAAGAGAGGGACGGGGGGATCGGCATAAACTTCGGGGGCTGATTGTCCGTGACGAACTCATTCGGCCGATTTTATGGTCGTGCAACGTGTATCTACGCTTTACTGCCGCGATGCTCCTAGCGTTTATCGTGAATTTCACTTGCGCGCCGCGGAACTCGTTACGGAATGTTCCGGGAACACGTTATTGCGTTGGAACGACGCTGGGCGGCGAATGTTACCGCGTTATGTATTTCCATAGAATTTTCTTACACCAACAATATCACCATCTTTGTGACGTCTGGCAGACAATTGATACGATTATGGAGGGATCACGATATCATAATTTTCATCGAACTCATTGCTTTTCAATTTACCTGGTACTTATAATGAAAATAACGATTCACGTCGTATATAAATAGATATCGTGTCCGCTACTGATTTGAAATATACAATAGCCGACTATTAAGTAGACACGTGCATACGGAACGACGTATGAATAAAAAAAGTTACACAGAAACTACGGCGCAGTAGTTTTGCGAGCAAAAATTTCGGTTTCGCGCGCGTTCGAAATTAAAACATATTTCACTTTACGCGTGTAATACAGGAGTGCGCGTTAAACAACTACTATCGCCGGAGCGCCGGAAATATCAGCCAGCGTGCAGTAACATTTTATCTCGCGCCGATTCCAGCGAAATCATCGAGCCCCAAATTTTCGAGGATTTCGAGCGCGCGAGCGGATCGTGCGATTCGAATCGGAAGCGCTCCACCACAAAGTTGCGCGAATACGCGATAGGGTCGCGGTGAACCGTTGGTGGGGTTGTCGGGGATGAAGGGGGAAGGAGGGAGAGGCCGCGGGGTCGTAGTCCGGTAACCTAACCCATATCGGATCGTGGGTGGCACGGGGAGGGTGGCGCGGCGCGATCCACCCTCGCATTCGTCCATCGCGTCCGTACTAATCTGTGGTCCAGTCGTAAACCGTTTAATTCCGCACCGTGATAAACCGCGCCCGCCGTTTATTGCCTGCGCCACCCCGGCCACTACCGCCACTACCACCCCCTCGGAAAACCCACTCGGAGCATCGTACGAGTCTCTGCGTCCGTGCGCGACGAGTTCATTCGGGCTTGCGTAATTAATAGATATTATTTATTCGCGATGCGTTTCCGCGTTCGTGTGAATAACGCTCGGATGACGAACAGCGAAATCGGATACGATGATACGGTATT